CCCCTAACACACCCATCCCACTATAACCCCTCCACACACACACCCATCCCATATACCCTTACCCCACACACCCATCCCATATGCCCTCCCCCCACACACCCATCCCATATACCCCACCCCCCAACACACCCATCCCATATACCCCCCTACACACACACCCATCCCATATACCCCCCCCACACACACCCATCCCATACACCCCCCCACCACACACACCCACTACACTCAGGATGGCAGACGAGCGGGTGCAGCTTTAGCTTAGCCCTGGGCAGCACCGCCTTTTTCTTTCCCGGTGTGACCATCTCGTTCTCAGTGCTGGAGATGGTGTCGGGGCTGCTCTCGGTCGGTGGAGTTCGGTACACCTACTCTCTGGTAGTGGGTCATATGTTGGCCGTGGCTCTGATGTTCGCTGCATATCTCATATTCTTCTTCCAGGAAGTCGAAGGTGTGAGCAGTTGTGTGTGCCTTCTATTGTAGTACGCTGTGTATGCTGCGAATGGCTTGGCTGTATACCTATCCTGCCCTTGTGGTGGAAATTGATCGTTGCTTTGTTTTTCGAACTTCAAAAAAACAACCCGATGCGCAGTATCATATGTATCTGGAATTACAATGTTCGTCGTCTAAAGGCCTTGCCCGGTGAAGTAAAGCCCACTCGCTTGCCTTTGCATCAACGTACTTTCGTACATAGTCGCGCATTGACTATCTGAACAGATATTTAATTGGCCCATCACACGTACCATAGATGCGTAAGTGTGGGACAAGGTGTGTTACGGCGCACCTTTCTCTTTTCCTCCCACTGCCTACGCGTTTTTATATACTCATACCGTTACTCACACCCTTGATTGTGTCTCTCTCTCTCTCTCTATCTCTCTATATATATATATATACATATAAATATATAGTAGGGGCAGTATTTGATCCTTGTGAAAATGCCGTAATATCGATGCACCGGGCCTATCGTATCCCCGCGTACGCGCTGCTCTATCCGGCCGCAATTCTGTGCTACAACATTCCGCCGAGGATGTACCTCCCATTCTTTGTGGTGCAGTTCTTCACCTGTTTGGTCATCCAGGTGTGGTTATGTGCATTGCCATGTGTTAAGTTTGTTGATAGCAAGTGTGGGCATACGCGTACGGCTCCGCCGGTCTACCAAGGCGGTGGGCTTAAAATAGACTTCTGTAGTGAGTTTCGTGTTCAAATTTGGAGTAGCGTTGCGTGCATGGACCTTCCGTTAAATTAGAAACGTGGTGGTTTATTCCCAAAGCCGTAAAGTATACATCCACCTGTCTATCAGCACTTTCTGGTGCACCCTCTCACACACAGAGTCAGTCCGATAGCCCAGAATCCTTCCGTTCTAGTCATAGCGCCAGGACCATCAGGATAATCGTGCCAACGCCCACATAGCACTTCTCACTCCCCCTGTGAGACCCGCACATGTGCGCATACAAACCCAGAAAGCACAAAACCCGCCCTCATGTATATGCTTGCCCCTATTATTCACGCCTATCCTATCTGCGTGGCACTCCCTCCAACCACACAGGTAGCCAGCGCCATCTCCGAGATACCCTCGGCGTTGGCGACGGGCATGGGAGTGTTCACAATGACTGTTGTGAGCGGTCTGTTGTGCAAGCGCTTTATGCGGTCGTTGCTGCGCTCCATGGACTGTGCGCCCGTGTGTCTTCTGGTACCTACCATTGAACTGGTGGTGCCTGGGTCGTCCATAGTGAAGCAGCTGATTGCCATGATGGTCCAGCCCAACAGCGAGAACAGCAGCCCTGCGGGGTATATCGTCACCAGTATGGCAATTGCCATGGCTATCTTGATCGGGGATGCGTTCTTGCACGTATGTCGTATGTCTGTGCGCTCACATTTACACGCACATTCGCATATATATATATATATATATATATATATTATATGTATATGTATATATATATATGTATATATGTATATATATATATATATATATATATACATATATATATATGTATGTGTAGTCCCTGGGCGTTGCATCTATCATATATGTATAGAGCACTTTTGTAGTTTTGATGTGTGTCGACTCATGCCCACTATCGGACTCCTGGTACCTGAGCTATTCAGAATGAGAAATATGTGCAATCGCATTGTTGTTTAATTTCAAGATGGCCTTGTACACCTCTCTCGTTTAGTTCGAAATGCGCCTGACACTATGTATTCCTAGCCTACTGCATAGCCTAGCGTAGCCCCAACACCCACAAGCCCGTCACCTACCGGCATACTACAACTCCCCTGCTTTATACTCCAACGTACCAGATACTGCGAGTGGGGGGGGTGTTCAAGGTGCCCATCTACAAAGGCCCCATCAACAATGTCCATGAGGACGTTCTCTTCGACCCCGACTACATCGCGGTATGTCATGGCCCACCCATTGTCTTGCACTACACGAGCACTTGTGAATGCGCCGTTTGTTTGCGTAGGTATTCGCTCGGTGGTGTGGGAGAGTTCGGTACTATCGGCTGTATGCACAACATACCAGACCAATACGAAGGGGTGTCTTAGGGTTTTGGGGGTGGGGTTTAGGGGAAGTCAATACGCAGGCGTGGCAACCGGGCTCAGACCTTTTTCATTGGCGAGCACAGGCACTGTTCTCATGCACACACATGTTCGTATAGATGCAACTACCGGAAGATGGGAAAGGGGGCGATATGTTTGTGATGGTCATGATCAGGGAGGCGCAGAAACTGCCTGAGCCGCCGATTGAAGAGGACATCTGGAATCCCTTCGTGGATTGTATGCAGAACGGAAAGACTGTGGCCAGGTACACTCACGCTCGCGCACGCCCTTGGTGTGATGAAATAGTATGAGAGCTTGGTGTGACGAAATAGAATGAGATTAGCAATTTCCGCTCAAAAATGTCGCAAACATTTAGGACGAGGCTAACAACAAGGCTACCAACCATTTCGGCAAGGTCTTCAGGGTGTCTAGTCTTGCCGGTGCGATCTTGCCCCAGTGTGTGAAGTAGGCGCATGGGAGCTTACATTGCGGTGTCATAGGCCAGTGTTTGCGTACGATTCGATCGCTGCGAACACATGTCTCGTTTCGGTTCATTTCGGTACAGTTCCATCGCCAAACTATAAGCCACACCTCTCCTTCTGTGGCATTTTGATACTCTATGCGTGCAGCATTGCGTGGATGATATACCTCAGACACTGAAGCATAGCTACAGCAAATGTTCCCAAACATGGCTCCACTCACAGTGTGCCCTCCCCTCGTTTCCCACCGTCTTAAGGTCCAGCACAAAAATCGAAACCCTCCACCCGGTGTGGGATGAGGCGTTCATACTGCCAATGGACAACAGCGGCAATGGTCAAGAGTTCGAGGTGTGTCTGTGTCTGTGTCTGTGTCTGTGTGTGTGTGTGTTGTACTCTCAACTCTCGTTTGGTAAGCAATCGCATCGGCCGTGACTGTGGCGGTCTCTTTATCTGATGGATTGGGCATGTCTGCCTGTTCAGTGGATTGTGGACCACATGACACACAGACAAGGCTTGAGAGTTGTATCCGATCTGTGCATCACGACGCGACTGTTGTAGCCCTTGTGAAATCGAATGCTGTAAACGAGTGGTGGATAGCCGAAAAAAAACATTACATTATGTTATATAACATCAACCAGTTTTTTTTTTTTGGGGGGGGGGGGGGGGGTTAATACATATGATGAATAACATGTACATGAGCCTACACCTTGTAAATATACTTTTAATTCTATTTTGCATGTGCACAGATGAGAGTCAGAAACTATACGCGCTTTGGGCAAAACGGGAACATTGCAAGTGCCACCGTGCGGTTTGAGTGGGATAGTGACAAGGTCGATGCCAGGGTCAGTCTGACATCGACATCCTTCGGCAGCTCTGTGCACTTGGCAAAGTGAGTCTCAATCCGAATTCAGTGTCAGTGAATATATCTACGCGAGTTCGTTTGAAGATTTTGTTTTGCGCTCAATAATAGTCTTCGAATTGCACATCTCGCTGGCTTGCGTGCAGGTCGGTTGTTGCCCTTTCAAGGTCAGATGCTGACGCAAATATGCCATCAAGGGTGTATACTTGTGAGCTTGCTGAACTGAAACCATGCATGTATCTCACTCGCTCACAACCTGTCCTACACATACCATTGCCTTGCGTATATGAAGCGAGGGGCAACTGACAGATGCATCAGAGAAGGACAGCAATGGAGTGGATACGGCAGAAAAGGTACGGTCTTTCGCTATTTGACTGTGCTGCTGCGTGTAGTAAGCACGCGTGTGTGTGTGTGTATATACATATGTATGTGTGCGTGTGTGTGTGTAAGTGTGTATGTGTGCGTGTGCAATTATGTGTAATTATGTGCGTGTATGTGTGTGCAAGTGTATTTGCTTGTACGCGCGTGTGTGTGTGTCGATAGGTTGTACGTACTAGCAGTATTCTCTATTGTTCGATCTTACAAGCCTACGCGCACCCAGTCTGATACCTTGAGCGAATCGATAAGAGACCTTCTGCATGAAATGAGTTTGTGTGTTTCTTTTTAAGGTGCAGTTGACAAGGTCTATATTGCAAGTGCTTGCATTTATGCGTTTGTCTAATTTTACTATTTTTTCATGATGAAGGATGACACGGACAAAGACAGGGAGAGGCAACGACGTGTGCGCATGTATTGCGATCAAGAACTCCTGGCATCGGGTACAGACATCAGCGTGGACTATGAGGGCTGGCTGATGTTGAGTGTAAGTGAATCGGTCCTTCGCTAGTTATTCAATAGATTGGTTGTTTTGGAATCGGCATGGGTTCTCAAGCAGGGCCATCCGGTCCCTACTACTCGTGATCAAAAGATTGAATACTGTCGAGTGCCTACTACACAAACCTGAGATTGTTCTAAGTGCAGTTTCGGTCATTATATAGTGCGAGATGAGGGGTAGGTTCAGTCGAGCGTCTATGCTCGCTGTTCCGACTATGAAAGGAAACAGAAATGGCACACACCTGAAACCCTATATATCGAATGTCTAAGCCACCGTATACGTACCATGCACTCGCGTTGCAGGGGGATAAAACGGATGACCGTGCCGGTGAGCTACACGTGTCGGTGCGATTACGGTCAATCAAAGACATCAGGGAACAGCTGGCCAAGGAATCGCTCAAGAAACGGGTAAGCAGACCAACATCCAATGAGATGGTAGAAGTACACGGTCAATGCGAGAGTGTGTGTTCAATCTGGGTGTGGTGTCGGTGTGCTGTGTACACCCACCATAAACCTGTTACGCGTGCGGACAAGCCCTTCGAGAAAGACCGGTAGTTACAAGCAGACAACAAGTGTTCGACACACCTGTGCCATGCCCACCCGTGCCGTAACATATACTGACGACTTGTTTATCACAGATATCAGAGGACAATCGTGCCAATATGTACGTACGCATGACCTCTCGTCCCTACGACCGACGCATGAGACGGCTCAGTTCCATCGTTACCACCATGGAGGGAGATAAGCAGCAGTCGTATAGACTCGCGAGTATGGCCAGCCATATGCTTCCAGAAAGGTATGGAAGAAAGCCAATCTCCCGGGCTCATGCAGAGTGACAAGCCTAGAGTTAGTGAGGGGGTGTTGAAAAAAAAATTGCATACTTATGAAGAATCGAAAGATTCAATGACTGGAATTGTGAGTTGTACAAGGTGGGTGGTAACAGTGGACATGGGGCACAACGCAGCTCTTTTAATAGCACCAGCCCGTGGCGTGCTGATACCGGTGTACAAAAGCGGCTTTAAATAGTAGCAGAGACTATCACATGCACACATACTCACATACTATTCTGTTTGTTGTGTTGCCGTATCTGCACACCCCCGTGACTTTCGTTGCAGGCGTGGCACAATAACCTCCGACGCGAGCCTTGGCATTGGTCAGGAAACCATCGACGAGATCAGCCAAGAGCATCTGCGGGCCTGGAACCAGAACACAAACATACACATGCCAGATGACACGAGCGTGTATAGCCGTGCAATGTCACAGCCAACACACGATAGGGCGAGCAATAGCGGCTCTAATCTGGCAATGCCTATGCCCACCGAGATCGATGCGTTGCCGGGAACTGTCTCGGATATGCAGCAGATGGGTACGGCCCAGGTGTCTACGTTAAGGTATGATATGCAGGTATATATTTATCCTTGCAGAGTTTTCTAGTTGTGCGCACATGTGTTTTGTGCAGCATGGTTAGTTCCAGGCTAGATCGTGAAATTTAGCAGTGCCTCACACCCGTGTGTTGTATATTTGCATCTGTAAAAGCCTTGACTTTCAGTATCACACCACTTCCCTTGATGCTCGTGACTAACGTGAAGATGTATTTAACACATACATACATATAAGCTGTATATATGTCGCACTTACACTTATAAGCTAAAGATGTATATAACACATCTCGCACAGACAAACGGTTCTGACGGCAAACTTCCAGAAACAGCATTCTTTGCCCACTGGGAGTGTGGATGCTGAAACAGAGGTGTTAGTCGATGAGGGTGGTATGCGAGATATGATGCGGTGGCGCAGAGCGACCTCTGAAGACGACGTCCAGGCTCTCGTAATGCAACACGAAGCAGATCGGAGAACCAGATATCCGCAGGTATCTCCCGTTACTGTAGAACGCGTTGAGCATTAGTGTTGTGCCACATGCAGTGGAGTTGACCCACGCATTGCCTGGGTGTGCTATCTTCTGTCCATGGGTGCGTTTGTTTTTTTTTTAAACCGTGCCGCGAGATTCTCCCTTAGAGCAGTGCTTTTTTTTGTGGTTTTTTTTTAGGCTTGTATACGCCATGTACAACGAGAGGAGTGAAGGCATCTCGTTTTATTATAAAGGCGTTCTTGTATCAATTTATTGAGACATTGTTAGTCTCAAGTGGTAGCATATTTTCTGGACATGGCATCGTTTCTGTACTAAACCCTGCATTGCGATTTATCCTGCAATGCCACGCTTCACAGGCCGTATTGCCAGACAGTGGCAAGGGGCCAGCCGAGCCACTTTCCAAGCGCAGCAGCTCCGGTAGTGGGACTGCAAACGACGAACCCCTTCCTATTGTACGGGAAGTGAGCTACACAAACCTGTCCAAGCTCAGGTACGAACAAGAACTCTTGAGGCAACAACAAGAGAGTGCGCGAATGAGGCAGACCGGCATAGAACAAGAAATCAAGGATCTAGGTACGAGGGCTCATTGAAGATCTTTTGCAATTGGAGTCTTTGGAGTGTTGTTGAAATATATGTGCCAGTTGGTAGCCTGTTTTTCTGTTTCCACGATATCATAGTCTTCCATCTCGCCCGTTCTATATTTGATCTGAGTCAGATATATATCTCCCTACTTTATCTATCCGATATTGCGAGATATCTTGCCACATTCTTCTACGCATTGAATGTATATCTCATTTCTTTTGTGCAGAATCGAGAGGCCATCCTGGCCCGGAAGCGGTCGAGAGCAGTGACATCCCTCGCTTATCGGAGGGTGCACATGGTGTCTCAGCACAACCACAGACGCGCGCACAGGTCCAAACTCAGGAGCAGGGCAGTTTACAACGAGTGCAAAGTAGTCAAAAAGACAGCAAAACGAATGGTCTACTAGATGTTGAATCTTTGCCGCCGCCATCGCCCGTGTTCACGCAGCGGCCCGCACGTGACACGCAAACGTCATACCTTGCAAGCATACTTCAGACCTACAACCGCTCATCGCGGGGATCTGCGGATGCCTCGATGCAATCCGGTACCAGTGGATTGATTGATGAGACCGCACACCCCCCGGCACAGTCTTATGCGGATGGAGACGATGAAAGTAAACTGCGAACACATGAGCAGCCGCGACCACTATCACAATCACTATCACAATCACAGCCACAGCTACAACAGCAAATACGACAACGTCCACCGCCACTACAACAGCAGTATTCCAATTTTATCACTACATCCTTACGACAGAAAGTTATGGACCTGAAAAGAAGAGAAACTCTAAACGAAGCGGAGGCAGAGGCCGATGGCAATATAGACTACCACAGTTCGGGAAGTGCGACAGGTCAGTCGGACGCTACCGGTAGTGTGTTTTATAGAGGATTGAGTGGTGCCGCTTCTGAAAGCAGAAGTAACATGGGAGATTCGGTTGTGGACATGCCAGTGTATGGCCGCAGGGCTGGATACGCTCCTAATCAAGGATCTATAAGAGAGTTGCGGAATAGGCGGCAAAGTGACGCGCGAGACGATTCTAGGTCAGTAGTCAGAACTGAAAATGATGTCCAATTAAGGGGGGTTCTGGGGAGAACGACTAGTATGGCTACGCCCTCGAGCTTAAGGCCATATACAGGGCTCCCTAAAAGATCCACCTTCCAAGGGAAGAAATCCGGTAAATATTTATAATAAATAGATTAAACACACCTGGTAGGATCCTTCACAATATATGTGTTGTTTGTTTTTGTCCTTTTGGCCTGAACGCTTAGTTGAAGATACATGGTCATCTGGGTATATCTACACCCTTCAGCTGGGAGAATATTGATACTTCTGTTAGTGTCTCGCATCAAAAAAAAAATATAATTATACGATATGACAGCATTTCTGTCGTAATTATGGAGCGAGATGCAACCGCCGCGATTCAAATTGTATTTTTTTTTCTACTTGAAGCCCAATTTAGCTCACAATGTCACGTACACAGTCTAGCCTTTGACATAAATCAGCCAGAGCACGGACCTTTATACATGATTCCCAAAATGATGAATCGTTTCATACTAATGTATTATGTATCGGTTGACAATTTAGCTTCGCCAGTTTGCCTACTCTGTCAAAAAACGGCATCTGTGCAGAAGATGAGGAAGCACAATCTCAATACTTGTATAATCTTAGAAGAATCCCTTGGATTAGTCTCACATTGCTTGACTGGTTAAACTCTTGTTTTTCGTATTGATAGTGTTGACCTTCTCCATCAACGTTTGGATCGGCTGGGTAGATATTAGGAGAAATCGGCACGGTTGCAAACCAATTTTTTCGCAGGGTCTTTCAGGCGCAGCAAGCCAGCTGTGCTGTAATCAAATCCCTGTGGAAGCGATTATTGATACATCCCAAGTCTGTTATATCTTTCTGCACTACCTGTGTAGTCAGTGGGAGGTGGGTGGTGAGTTGTCAGTAGATCCCATCTGTGGTAGTTCGAATGAACCGAGAGCATCACCACATCAGCACCCGCACAATTCAATATGCCAGTCGCACAATAGTTCAATACGCAAGAATTTAAGATATAGCACAAATAAACAAAGCAGGCAACTCTCTGTGACTTGATAGCCTCATTTCCAAACTATAAGTAGTAAAACTCAAGCCCCGTTCGTCAATTATGTTTGCTTTACGTTACGCAGAATTGTCGGGCCTGTGAACAGTCACAAATAGCCTGACAAAACGACGTAGACGGACAGAACACCGAACTATTCGGCTATCCCCGTGCCTGTCTGATTTTATTGAAAGAAATGATGTTCAGGTTGTCTACTGTGTTTCGACTAAAATGTGTATCTATCTGCCTGAGTGTCTGTGACTGGAAGTTAGAATGGTTCTGGATGAATGGGTACTAAAAGATAATGAATACGAGAGCGGCATTAACTATGAAATACGATCGTGATTTGAAGCACACCAGTCGAGCCATTTAGGACTACCCCCAATGATGGAACCACATGTATTTCAACTAAATTATTTCTTTTTCAGTGTTGATGATAATATTCCGTGGCATGCGTAATACTTACCGATGACTGTTTGACCATAAGTATAAAGTAAAACAAACTACTACGAGGATTCCTTTTTACTAATTTATTGTAGTGAGGCAATGCCGAGGTGGTCCCCGATAATCTTAACGTTATGAAACTGTGCACAAAAGAGCTTGTAATCCAAAACTGGTATATTTGTATGCGATATTAACAACAGTTGTGTGTCTATTCGCGTTCTACTCACTCCGTGCGTAAACCCCACCATACCATGAAATTATCATTTTAAGTTTGGGGTTCTGATAAATGTTTATAGTGTTGTCCAGTATGCAGACTGGTTGAATAATCTCGGACTCGATACTCAGCGATATAAGGCGAATGTATGTTAAAAATATTAGAGTAGTAAAGCAGTATCCATCGCACTCTCGACGCGGCCAGGAATATGTTGTTTATGGAAACTACAACAATCTCTGTTGATATCATCCCACAATATTTTTCTTGATTGAGCTGATGTTTGTTCAACAGCTCACTACAGTTGAAACCCCCAAATCTATATGACATATAGCAGCACTTGTCTCAAATCAAGCGTCTGCAAGAACACGTCGCTGTCCAAACCTTTACCGGTGGGAACAAAGCCAATATGTACATTGGAGATCGGGCAGATTGAGCATCCCCAGTGGAAATATTACGTGGTTCCTTCGTCTATACTTGTTTTATACAGCTAGCGCTGGTGTCCGACGCGCAGGGAGGAGGGGGGGGGGGGGGGGAGGGGGCATATAGTAACTGTTAGCGCTCTGGATGCTTAGTGTAAGCTCTCCCTTCTGCGTCGCGTGTTTTCATTTTTGATTTTATTTTTGGACGGGCCATTGGGACTTTTTCTCGGGTCTCGAAATGCACAGCTTTTGTCGCTGTTCGGCTGCACTCCTTGGCTTGGTTACTTTATCGTAATCGGAGCCCAAAAGTTTATTAAGAATCTAAACCAGCTCGGAAGTGAGGACCGCGCATATACACAAAGTACATTATGGGCTGACAATATTAACCTGGAAAAAAAGGTTACTGATTAAGGTCACTGATTAACAGATAACTATAATTCACTCATCTGCCACAAACGAATCGTGCTGCCCAGGTCGAGATAAAGAAATATTGATGCCAGACCCGACAGAATCTTTTACTATGGATTAGAACTTATTTAATCAAAAAGACTCGGCAAGGTTTCCTTGGAACCATCGGTTGACAGCAGCCCGACGGCACAAACGACATGTAACATGCAGAAAATCTATACTAGGAACAGAACAAAATTGCATGGGATTTTCTTATTTGATTTTTGGACAGGTCATTGGGACTTTCCTCAGGTCTCGAAATGCATAGATTTTGTCGCTGTCCGGCTGCACTCCTTGGCATGGTTACTTTATCGTAACCGGAGCCCAAAAGTTTATTGAGAAACTAAACCAGCTCTCGGACGTGAGTTGAGAAACTTTCTGAGCTCTCCGGAGTGAGAGATAAATAATATTATCCCTATACTTAATGATTTCAATAAATCTGGGGAGGGGGGTTTTGCAGTAAAATCTTATCGTTTTCTCTCAAAAAGAGAAAAACCACTATCGCCTACAAAAAAGGAATAAGAAACCCGAAGCACATTGTATTTTCTCACTTTTTTTTAATTTTCAGCATGATAAAGGAGCTATTATAGTGGCTGGCATCGTTGGTTTGCGCTGACCGCACATATACACAAAATGCATTATCGGTTGAAAGTATCAACCTGGAAAAAAAAAGGCCACTGACTAAAAGATATCTATTATTTGATCATCTGCCCCAAACGAATCGTGCTGCCCAGGACGTGATAAAGAACTATTGATGCCAGGCCCGGCATAATTTTTTACTATGGGTTAGTGCCATGGCTTGAAAATACATGTACTAGATTACAAGTACATCTACGTTAAATATACGACTATATATAATACTAACGATAGAAATCGTAGTACAAAAATACCAGGTTCCACTGAGGTTCCTACTTTGCGCTTGGAATGTCATTATAGAAATTCCTCGCAATTGTATTACTCCGAGTATTCGTAAAATACATGGCCTCGTTACACTTAAGACTACAAGGCAATATACAGTAAAGCACTACGCTAAAAACCTATTGGCACAACTTTGCCATATTTGCACAAATGTGTAAATGTACAGCCAGTTGTGTTTTCACGTAAAAATTATGTGAACCTCATTAGTCGCCTTGATATTTTTTTGAGGTGCTTTATCCTTTTCCTGTTTTACAAATACGTCAGCGGTGCAAATTCGAGGTGATCTAGACTGTTGTATTCATAAGGATGGAGCTCAACTGCTGAGACTTCACCCTTTCATTTCCAAATATTGAACACCCACAATTTGAATCAAGAAATTCTACAATTCCCGTAATCTGCAAAACTGACTTGGTCAAGATGGACAATAGTTCAGGTCATCCTTTGGATCTATTTGATACTGAAATTAGAACTTTATCAGTCAACCCGGCATATGTTGCTTGACATTATGATCCAAATGATCCAAATCAGAAGTTGCTCATCGAAGTTGATCCGAAGATTCGACCCTGGGTTTGGAAGGCGCTTCAAGACTATTTCCCGGAGCACGTCGAAGCTTTATCCAACAAGGACTACAAGATGAAATATTTTGCTCACCCGCGAGCCTCAGACTACGCCCTGAAATTCGGTAATCTACAGATACCTGCGGACAGCGAGCCTTTCGATTTCAAAAAATTCTTGAAACATGTGTCCTCTATCTTCGCTGGTTACTTCTACCAGCCCAGAACCAATATGTCGCACTCAGCTGTGCGAACTCTTTCCAATTTTTCGGGACTCCGCTCGGGGGTTGATTGATGATGATGAGCTCATTAATCTACTCCATCAAGAAGTATGGGCATACGATTATTCCAGCCCTAGTATGCGCAGTGGCGCTGTGTCTGAAGTTTTAGATTACTCCAGCCCAAAAACGAACCTTCGAAATTAGTCTACGAAAGAAACCAAGATTCACTAAAGGACAAACTGTCCACAAGTTTTTCAGCGACAGACGTAAATGTCTGATTGCACTCGAATGGGACCGAGACTACGATATATTTTACAGTTGGGCCCTGGAAGTCATGCCTGATATGCTGATGGCAGATATCGAGAAGGCACAAGCCTATTGTGACCGCTTTCCGAATTCAATCCCAGCAGCCCCGGACGCCGTTGTCGGTCATGTTAGAGGAGGTAATTTTATCAAGTATAAAAATTGCTTCTAATACGGACCGAACGTTCTCACAACTCTGAGGACTGTTTTATGCTAAAACGCAAAAACGGAGAGTCCACATCACGATCAACATTTTATTGCACGGAGCATCAGCAAAACTTTACGGAGCAGTGTAAAAGCCTCAAATGCTCTGCTCCTGATGCTGAGACTCATTCGATTTCCAAACGCCCTCGTTCTGAAAATGAAACTATCTTTTGCTTTAGATGTCTCAAACCTCGTCATCGTTGCGACTGCCCTCAAAATCGCGAGAAAATGATTGAAGAATTTTTCAAGCAAGTAACTACCCCCCTGAGGTATCCGTTAAGTACACTTGTGCACGCTGTAACGGAAAGCACATTTGCCACAAATGTGGAATCTCGGACGCTGCAATCCAAGGCTATATGACGGCTCACAAGATCTACAACATACAAGCTGTTGAGGATGATGCTGCCATCAACTCTATCGCTAATGAGATCTCTACTACAGAAGATGTCGAGGCTTTCCTTAGAAACTTATCTGTAGACAACGATGCTATCATAGGAAATGAATTCCTTAAAAGATGAAGGTACAGAGAGAACAAATATTATATTTTTAAAATAAAATCGAATTTTGATGAAGATCTCATCAGTAACCTGAAATGCGGCTATGTAACAGTTTCGAATAAAACTTGCAATACTCTATTCGACGATGGATCACAAGTTTCGCTAACTAGTCATAAGACTGTTCAAGAGCTTCAAAAGTGTACTCCAGAAGCTATAATTAAGATAAAACCTTCTCTCATGCGATTAAATGAACTCGGTAGTTCAGGGTCCCGATACAAAGTCACAATTCGTGGCAAGGTACACGGCTACCAATTCATACATACCTATAGAGCGGTGGAAATGTAATGTTATGTTAGTTGGGGATTGGCTTGACAAACATGTCAAGCTTGACTATTGCTCGTAAGACCTACTATGATCTATTCACAGGAGGTAGAATCCCCTACAAAAGACAAGTTACAGATTTGAACTTCAAAACAACGCCTAGAAAGAAAGATATCTCGGGCCTGGCACGTATTGCTGGAAACATAAAGGAATTACCAAATACTTCTATAATTGTGATCTTCAAAGTTGATACGTATCAGAAAGTATTATCTGAATGTGTATTCACACCCACAGAAGCTACAAAACACTTATTCACCCCTAGCTTGATCAAAGGCTCTCGAAGAGAAGGCATATTTAGGGCAATGATCACAAATATTACCGGTCGAGTGTTAAGACTGCACAATACTCCATTGGGGACGATTGAGGACCTAAATGGTGCTCAGTTGTATACCACTAGTGATAGAGATACCGCAGCAAAAATATTGACTGCCTCAGCTATTCCTAAAGATCTATTTAATTACAAAAATGTACAAATAATACATGATATACCCATAGATACTGAAACTAGAGCAAAACTGATTCCCTTGGGTTTTAAGCATCAGCAAAGAACACAAATTGAAGATTTGCTAATAAAGCATTACCAACTTTCTTGATCAACCACCCATCAAGTTGGAATTAGAACATAGTGACTATCTACATAAAGCAATGCCCTTTAGGTAAAATATAAGAGGAAGCATATGAAGCTATTGCCAAGGAGATGCTAGCTGAAAACATAGTCGCGCTGAGCGACTCACCATATAATAATCCATGCCGGCTTTAGTCCCATCAAGGATACAGACATAATACCCGTTGCACTCCCTGCATACTATTTTGTATGGTCCGCCATTTGGTGCTGTAACTTGTTCATTTCACCTTGATAACAGACCATGACAAGGTCCTCTCCCTTGAAGTTCACATACTTCTGTTGGTATTTCCGATTGTATGCTGCTCGCATCTTCTCTTGATACTGTGCAACATTGCTTTCTAGTTGTGGCCTAATGGCTTCTTCTAGATTTTGCAGTTGCACTTCCCAAGGTACTGTTGTACTGGGTGCGGTCACTGGCTCATTGTAGTCCGTGAGTTGATTCTGCCTACGATTAAGTACACATTAAAGCGCGGTGACTTGTGTCTTCTCGATATACACAGAATATGGCCCATCTGTACGAATGGAAGTTACCTGGATTCTGTTCAACGAATTTCCGTAACAGTGGCATGAGGTCTCTATGTGATCGTTTGTTTGCGCCTATGACTTTAGGTTGATACGGCTGAGATATTAGGTGTAGCATTGGCGCTTGTTCAACAACTTTTGAGAGTATGTTGTTAACATATTCAGTGCCTTGGTCCGTTTGTATGATTTGTGGAAATCCATGTTCACACATAATTGGTACCAGTGTGCGTGCTATGGTAGCCGTTGATTTGTCCATCATTGGACGCAAAATGACGTACGATGAATATACGTCAAGATATACTAACACGTATGTGTGTCCTTTATTGGAATCCAATAGTGGCCCTATGGTGTCCACTTGGACTCTGTCGCTTGGATATGCGGGTCAATAGACGTTACACCCAATGCTAGCCAAGTGCATAGCAAAAACTTTCCACCACCATTTCTCCATCATACATGTCCCAGGCAAGAACAACCAGATGGTAGATATGTTGTCACGTCTCCATGAAGATACTTTTAGTACTAAAGAGTCAAAAGTATTACAACAGGCGAATGAGGCAACACAAAATAGCCAAGACTGCACCACCTTGGAAACGAACACGCCCATAACCGTTTCGGCTAGAGACTGGATTTTATATCCCAGATTCTATCAAGAAGCGGAACGAAGGTTTGGGAAGTTCACAGTAGATCTGTTTGCATTGGCACACAATGCGCACACAGATAAATACTACACCAAAGAACATAATGCACTACAACAAAAGTGGGCACAGGAAGTTAATGCATGGGTGAATCCACCATGGAAACTCATACCTGATGTCCTTGACAAAGTCATTTAAGTTCCGGTGTCCATAACATGGATATGTTCTGGTTCATTTTCCCCTTCATAAGGTTCCGAAAGTGTTTCGTTGTGTGAGCAAAGTTGGGGACATGATCGCGATGAAATTTGCTAGTCCCCCTGCTTTGTGCAGGTTTCTTTTTGTTCTGGGTAGTGGCCAATCCATCATTCTTTTCTGTTTCTCAGTGTCTGCTTTGAGTCCCTGTGTGGTGACTTTCACCCCAAGAATGTTGACCACTTTGACCGCAAAGGCACACTTGTTCTATGAGTAGATTCGCCATGACTCTCTGGAATTGTGCTGTGAGTGAGTGTAGTCCAAACGGCGCGGACTTGAATGAATATTGTGCTCCTCTCCACGAGAATGTGCAGAAGTGTTGGCTTGCTTTGTCTACTAGGCAGTGATGAAATCCTCCAGTAAGATCTAGTTTTGAAAAGAACTGTGCTCCTTGTAGGTTGTGTAACACTTCCTTTATTTTTGGTAACACAAACTTGTCCTGTTCATATTGATAATTGATCTCATGTAAGTCTAGACATGTCCTGACTTTCTTGAGTGGACCTGTTTGGTCATGTTCACCTGTTGATAACAACGGCAGGTTTACCGTTGTGGGATTGTCGTGTTTGTATATATGGCCATCTTTAAGCCATCGTTGCACATTCTCGTCCGTTTGCGGAATGTATTTGTGCGGAACAAAGTTAACTTTAGCGTGCCTCATTTGTCTGACGTTGATTTCATTTGCAGGTACCGTGACTGTGGAGCCTGGTAGGTTGCAATGAACATCAGGGGGTATTTTCGCATTGGTATCCAGGAGGTCTGTAAGTGACTCTCTGAAACCTTCTTGCTCATGCTCTGGATCCTCTTCATGTGATGGGAGGAGTGATTCCCATTTTGCATCTGTTGGTATGAGTAGGTTGATTAACCCTGCTTTGTATATACCTATGTATGGTAGAATGTTCATACCTAGAAGTATTGGTGTCTTTTTGTCTGGTAAGTCCAATACTTCAAAGCACTGAGAGGTCTTCCTCTTTCCATAGTTTAGTGTCACAAACTTCTGTTGATCCAGTGCGTTGTATTCTTGCATCTGTTTGTGCTAGTTGTATATACCCAGGTTGGGCTCTAACAGACAGATATAGTTCTGAAACTACACTTTTGTCCATGCATGAGCGTTGTGCCCCTGAGTCTACTAGTGCATTGTATGTATTGCCATTGATTTGTATATCAGTGTGTAAACGTTGGTCTCGTGGTGCGGGAAGTAAAGATAAAGGTTGATATTTTATATCATTTGCATTTATTAACGACGTTTCTTCATTTGTTAATACATTGAGTCTGTCAGCCAGGTCAATCGTGTTCGCTTCCGCCCACCAGTGTTTTCAGTGCTCATCACCCTCTGTGATGTCTTCCACCTTGCCAGTTGTAATGGACAGTCTTGCTATCTGTACATCTTTCTTGGCTCGCTGCACAGCCTTCTTGGCTTGAACTGCTTTCTTATCGGGACATTCGCTGTACCGATGTGGGCATGCACGTTCTTCACGAGCTCCTTTCTTTTTCTGTGTCTGCCCCCCATACTTGTTCTGGTTTTGTGAGCCATTGTCTGTCTTGTGACGTTTGTTGGCGTCCGTGGAGTTATCCTTCACTTGCGCGTTCGTCTGTGTGTTGTTGCACTTATTTGCAGCTCGCGCCTGTTCTCTCAACATACGCTCTCCTTGTGTCACAGACGCCGTTCTTATGTGTGTCTCAGTCATAGTATGAAACTTGGTATGTTCTATGTCAGACAGGTGTCCTTCACTTCCATCAGGTTACTTGTCTCCTTTGATTAGGAGATCCACTACTGATTGTAGTACATAGCACTTAAGTGCTAGGTACCTTTGTACTTTGAGGATTTGGAAGTGTATGGGTTCCTTGTCTGAGTTGCGGTAACGCTCCTCTAACATCGCCATTGTCTTGTGCACACGCTCTGTGCGCACTTCGACGTTCATCTTCTTATTCTGCATGTCATTGAGAAACTTCTCCAATAGATAGTCTACTGGGTGTGACCTGAGTCGATCAATAATGATTCTATTGAACTGATCAGGATCATTGAAGTGCCTAGTCGTTTGTGTCTTGGAGTCTCTTATGTTATTGAGTACTGCTTTGTTTTTTTCCGTTGCATCAGCGGAAAATAATAGTCTTCTCACTAGCGCTGGATACTGACACAGTGGCATTGTCGTAGCTAAGAACAGATCACTACTTTGTGTAGTGAACTCTATGATATCTTCACAGTTTTCCGATATAAGGAAACTATCCTTAGGCATCTTGAGAAATTCCGAAGTCTTGAGCAATTTCTTAAGAGACGGTTCATTTATCTGATCTCCTAAACGGGAACGCATGAGCTCTAGCTCACTAATGTACAAACTAATTTGTATGAGTTTGTCCTCCTCATCATCACCACCATTGATCGCTTGGTCATATCGTCGTCTGAGCTCCGCATTCACTAGTGGCATGCGACGCTCTGGCTGTTGATAATGGGCACCGGTGCTGTCTGTTCCAATTTGGACACAAACCGACTGACCAGAACATGATTGCCTTGACAGATACTCTTGTCTATTTCTAGACGCATTGCTGACGCTGCGATGGGTACTCCCGCCGGTGTAGGCTGACCCGAACTACTGCCTGGGCTTACCTCCCCCATTGGGCTGATTCCCACGTCACCTGCGCCTTCACTACCCTCAACCCCATTGTACACGTTTGTTCTGGTTGCTGTTGGCATTTTCAGAAGTCTGTGTTGGTGTGTGGGTGTTAACTAAAGACTCTATATAGGTTCTGTGCGAAAGCGCGCGCTTCACCCCCTCCCCCCCGTTCAGTCCTAGTGACGTCACCCCTAGATGTTCGGTCCTCGTGACGTTACACATAGCTGTTCGGTCCTAGTGTTTGCCCTTATGAAATTCCAGCCTTATTGACCTTACCTGTGGGATTGCAGGTCTGTTGGATTCACCCTTGGTGTTCGGTCTTATTGATTGTACTTCTCGTATGCCTTTTTGTTATCGAGTGTGTTTCAATTGTTAGTCAGTGCCTATTTTGTTCAAGGGTGGGTTCTCATCGTTAGTCAGTGTGTATAGTGCCATATATTGCCCGATGTATACCCCTGATTTCGATCTGTATCTTGTGTGCATGCGATTTAGGTATATCTTGTCATTTCTTTGCAGTGTGAATGCTTGACTTCCTAGTGTGCACTTTTTAAAACTTGTCTCTTATTATTATAGTGTTTGCTTCGAATGCTTGACTTGGTCATGCCTTGTTCATGTCATTCGTGTGCATACCACTTCTAATCGAGCTTAAATTTCGATTTGATTGTGTGATCACTGGTGTGCTGCCTGTCTTGGAGCTGATTTGTCGTGAATTGTGTCTGTATTTTGTACCCTTTCACTTGTTAATTCTTATGTATCACCATGTCTTTGCATATCAAGTTCATTATTGATCTTGAATGTCAATGTGATTTGCGATTGATCTTAAATGTCAATGTGATTTGCAATTATTGAGCCAGGAACCAATTGTTCCTGAATTGTGAACTGTAACTTTGCGTTTCAGTCTATGTGCTTGTCGTTGTATTTAGTACTGTGACAATGTCGTGTGGTCATCTATTTGTGTAACCCTCTTAGCACTATTGATACTCTCATTCATTGATCTAACGCGCGATGCGTTATGAATGTTTTTGGTGTATAGGCTAATCATTGTGTTTTTCTGAGATTCTTTAAAATTCATTTAGTGCTATGTTCTCGCTTAACCCTAAACCCTCAAGTAGTTGCACTTTGCTTCAATTGCTGTGTGCAATCTGAAGTCTATGTGCGTGTTAGACTTAATTGTTTAGCCCACTCTTCTATCTGTAACATCGATTTGTGTACATCACCTTGCTAATTGCGCTCACTACTAAGTTTATCGCTTGCATTGAGGACGTTAGTACCTTTGAGTGTGGTGTATCAGGTGTTGTGTATACTATGAATGCTGTATACCCTGAATTCTCTGTGTGTGTGTTGTAGGCTAATTTGTCAGCCAGCCATTCTATGTGTGTCTTCTAATTTGTGTGCATCTCAATTTCAATTGTACTCCTTCTTGAGTTTATTGTTTGCATTGAAAGTAATTGTATGTGTTGTGTACTGTTACTGTCTTCTCATGCTTTGTGTTGTTTAATCTATCGTTATTGTACATATGGCAATCTCGTGTACCTCGAAATTCAAGATATTTTGCCTTTCGATTGTCTTTTTGGTGTGAAACTAACTCGCACCTGACCATACGTGTTTGCTTCTTTGTTTTGAGATGTGTATCGTCCTTGTGTAACTTGTAATATTTCGAGCGTGTAATGTGCTAGCTGATTTAAGTGATTGTATTTGCGCGTTCAATGATCTATCTGTCTTGTGTTACCCGCTTTCGTTTACTGTGTTTTGTGTACGAGTACTGTATGCGGCGACTAAGTGATATGATAATGTCCTTTTTGTGCGCATTTCATCAATGTTTTTTCTTGTTCGAAAATCTAGAAAAATCTTCTAGTTGATGAAAAGATCACTGTGACAGCTTCACCTTTTATTCACAGTTTTAGCCTCTTTACTGCTCACTTGTTCACTGGCACACGTTTTTCACTCTTGCATAGCTTTTTGTAACAACTCTGCACACGATACTTTCGCTTGTATAACGTGAAACACCACGTTTGCCCTCGTTACAGTTGTAGACACAATATTATTACCTAATTTGAGCCTTCTCTTCGTTTCTCAAACTTCTTCAGTTGACTTCTTGTAAGTTTCTTCTGGCCCTTGTTATTGCTAGCCTCTGGTTGTAGAGAGTCTTCGGTCTGTTTCCTGTTCCGGTCCGTGTTTCTTTTTGAAGCCTCTCTCTTCTAGTGCTTTCTCTTTAGTTATTCGAAATCCTTGTGGGATGTTTTCAATAAAGGTTTTTTAAAGACACTTAGTGTGTTACTTCACTTCTACTTCTTTTCAGGTCGTAGAGCGTAAACTGTTAGACTTATCTAGTTAAGGATATTGTAAAAAATGTAGAGTATGGAGAGTAGCTGAAAGGTACGAGACAATAGGATACAATAGACCTCTTCTCACGCACGGTTATCTCAGCTAGGAAAAGTCCTTAGTCTGAGAAAACGAAACTGAGTCTTTATTTGTGTTTTTACTAGACTCAGATGTACTTTAAGTGTTTCTCTCACACGCGGGAGTCCCGGTATAGCCTACCGGTTCTACCGCTAATATTTCTGATGACTCTAATTCAGAAATATTCCAGGCCTAATTCTAAAACTCATTATTTGATGATTCTGGGTTTTGGCATTTGGATTGGCTTTTGATAATCTGGTCCCTAGATGCTACATAACTATTAATAGACAGACTCGCTCCACACTGGCATCACTCGCTTCTTTCGCAAGGGGGACGCCATGGCTTGAAAATCCATGTTCTAGATTACAGGTACATCTACATTAAATATGCGACTATACTCTGCGCTTAGAATGTCATTATAGAAATTCCTCGCTATTGTATTACTCCCGAGTATTCGTAAAATACATGGCCTCGTTACACTTAAGACTACAAGGCAATATACAATAAAGCACTACGCTAAAAACCTATTGGCACAACTTTGCCATATTTGTACAAATTGGCACAGCTTTGCCATATTTGCACCAATGTGTAAATGTACAGCTAAAATTGTATTTTCACGTAAAAAATATGTGAACCCCATTGGTCGCCTTGATATTTATTTGAGGTGCTTTGTCCTTTTCCTATTTTACAAATACATCAGCGGTGCAAATCCGCAGTTCGATCATCTCCGTCGTTAAGGAATAGGTCGCATGATCTAGACTAATGTATTCATAAGAATGGAGCTCAAATGCCGAGACTTCACCCTTTCATTTCAAAAGATTGAACACCCACAATTTGAATCAAGAAATCAAAACTGACTCGGTCAAGATGGACAAGAGTTCAGGTCATCCTTTGGATCTGTTTGATACTGATACTGGAACTTTATCAGTCAACCCGGCATATGTTGCTCGACAGTTAGAACTAATTAAACGTAGTCAGTTGACAGTAGCCCGACGACACGAACGACATACAACATGCAAAAACTCTATACCAGGAACAGGACAACCCTGCACGGGATATTGGGAACGAGACATGTTGACCGAATTTTGCGATTTTATTGCGCCAGTGGCCGCGCCCAGTTGAATGTTTGACGATCTTTCGATTGGACAATAGATTCAGTGAAACCCCTTTTTACCATATGAAATGTTTCTTTTAAGGCTCTAGTGTCAGGCCTGTTATGTATACAAAAGCAATGAAATTATATTTGCATGTATCCGTTCTGGATTCGCTTTTGTTAAAATATTTTCACCTTGAATTGCCATTCATCATATATGGATTATTCTTCCGTCATCTTGTTGTTACTAGAACGACTAAGATGTCTGTCATTTGAGATGAATACACACTACGGCGCTCAATACATAACTTTATGTATGTACAATGATATCCATAGTATTTTTTTAGGAGATATTAACTATTCCCATATGTGGTACGTCGTTTTCATGCTTTTATCGTTGGGGTTTCCACTTTTGTTTTTCTACTTCTTGAATTGTCATCCACTATAATTGAAGTTTTCCCTGCCAGCGGTCGTTATTAGTTGCACAAGCTATTAATAAATCAAACCAACACTTGATTCTAACACCGGTTAATGTACTTCAATAGAATAAATCTTTTTTGGCGAGGTAGATTGTGTACCAAGTCAACACGTCGTTCGTGTATGGCATGCCCATGCACAATAATCGAGTAGTACTAGAGAATGCACTGAACGTGACACTACGTGTACGCTGAAAGGTATCAACCTTTTCGAATATACTGGGAATGAGACATGTTCAACGAATTTCGCAATTATATTGGGTCATCCCGCGTTCAGTTAAGTGTATGACAATGGCAACTTTCAATTGTATAATAAATTTAGTGAGAAATATGTGGTACGTCGACATCAGTGTTTTCATATTTTCGTTGGGGGTTCCGGGGGGATTTTTGTCTACTTGAAATGAGTTCATTCACTATTTTTGGAGTATTCCCATTTTAGCGGTCGTTATTAGTTGCACAGGCTATCAATAAATCAACCCAACTCTTGGTTTTTAACACCGGTTAATATACTTTAGTAAAATCAATCATTTTGGCAGGGGAGATTGTGTACAAAGTCAACACGTCGCTCATGGATGGCACGTCTTTGTATAATAATCGAGTAGTACTGGAGAATGCACTGGGCGTGACACTACATCGTTGGTTTGCACTGACCGCACATATACACAAAGTTCATTATTGGCTGAAAGTATCAACCTGAAAAAAGAAAGACCACTGACTAAAACATAACTATCATTTGCTCATTTGTCCCAAACGAATCGTGCTGACCAGGATGTGATGAAAAACAATTGATGCCAGGCCTGGCAGAATTGTTTACTATGGGTTAGAACTTATTCAAACTTAAGGAATTCGGCAAGGTTTCTTTGGATCCATCAGTTGACAGCAGTTCGCCGACACGAACGACATAAAACATGCAGAAAATCTATACTAGGAACAGGACAAATCTGCACGGGATATTGGGAACGAGACATGTTGACCGAATTTTGCAATTTTATTTTATTTAAACCCCTAAAACCCTGTCCAATTGAATTCGTGACGGTGTAGTGACAACTTTCGATTTGACAATAGATTCAATGAAAATATTTTGCTACCTTACGAGGTGTTTGTTTTCTGCTCAAGTGTCAGGCCTTACTGTATACAAAAGCAGAGGTCACAGGATAATCAGTACTACAAGTCATTGCAACGTGTTCACTTCTAGAGCCTTCTGATTAAGCTGCATCATTGTACCACCAATGTACATGGTGAGATACCTCGTGCAATACACAACCTTTTCTGTTATGGCCGTGCCTCTACTGCGTTATTGTAGAATGTAATTTCTTCTATATTTGGACCCCACTAGGCGGGTTTTTATAACTCTCTAATGCTGGTTCGTATTGGGGTATGTCATACTTGTAACTACAGTGACCGACTGTAGGATTTCACTTGTACTGGTGAACCAGTAAAATATTCGCACTACTCCTGTAGTCATGGAGACACGACATTCTGATTCGCTACTTTGAATAGAGCAGACTTCCGTTGAACCATATCCCTGGCAACAGCACATCTGTGGATTCATCTGTGATCGAGCAATTAAACTTCCTATTGGGTACTCCCACGCCGGCCTTATTAGGTAAGTATTGTTGCCTAGTACGGTAGTCCCAGGGCGTTTTTTAGAAACGACTTGGGCGTTCCATTCATCCTGGCTACGATCTTTTGAACGGCAGGGTAGGTGATACAATGGCTACCACTAATCTGGTTTGGCGATAGTCGATGCCTGTACACCACATGGCTCTGCCTGAGCGATTTCTGGAGCACGGATATGACTGAGTCTAATAAAAATGTATACACCTTATCTTCCGGATCACAGTATGTATGATCCAGTTCGTAGTAAATCGTAGACTCAAACGCATCCTGTATCCGTGACTAGGGACTGCAGCCTATAAATCTCAGGTATTGATTGACTGTTCTCATAGCTACGGATCGGAGCGTAGACAATGCTATTGGCCGCGGCAATACTATACTTAGTAACAGAACACATGTGCGCCTTTGACGTCATCGTCTCCGCGCATAGCTGAATTATAAACCGATCCCTTACAGCCACGTTCTTCGCCAAACCCCCCTAAATAAATTAATTGTATAGAATATATATCTCCCAGGAGAATGATTGCCAGGCCCAAACTTTTGCGGAGGCCGGCAGTAGCAGAAGAGACACTATTAATGTTTGTGTTACAATCCGGAACCCAGTACTGGCCTATCGGGCTCTTTGTACTCTGAGCTCAGATATCTGTCTTCACATGCGCACGTGCCTAGTCACGGCCTCTTGGCTAAATCCACTGGCAACACCTAAATTAGATGTATCACTCCTGCGATCTGTGTAGGGCTCCGGGGGCTGCTTTTGTCTCACAAATTACGTGCACGCTGTGACACGATAAACAATCGTATAGAGTATCTGAGCTATCTCCAGCCCATCTCTACACACTCTATGCTGTCCATTGCGGTGTACATCATCTGATCGTAACTAGATACTCCAGTGGTTTAGAAACTAAATAAAACGTTCTGTAGCTGGCACGGTGTTGATGTGTTTCCAATATCGGCTTGGTCGTTATTGAAAGACTACAGGTCTCAGTCCAGATTTTACAGAACGAGAGCTAATCAACTTGCTTAAATTACTCCTGAGAATTGAGTTAGTACTTAACCGACTCCCGAGAGTAGATTAGGTTTTTCAACGAACTCCCGAGAGTGGATTAAGTTTGCCAACCGCAACATTCTAAAAATAGCTGCTGTTATATGCGAGTCACAACCAATGCGGATAGGCGTCATGTGAGCAGCGTGAGATATTGTTGCAGAGAAGTCGAAATAAAATAGCATCAAAGTGTTAAAGTGTTCTGCATAAGGTTTCTCATACTGACCATATGAGATTTTACCCTGGCCAGCCCAAGCGGCTGAACTCTAGCACAAACACTTTGAGTGTAAAACCAAAGGTGAGGACAGAAATAAACACCTACATTTGCACTTTATTTAAAGTCTACTACATTCCACTCTAACAGTTATGGCTGAATTATTCTGAGGCTCAATCAGATTCGGTCTGGAAAATTTCAGAATTCCGTCTCTAGTTCTACACTATTGATTTTGGGGTGACTGAAAAAGATGGTTCATATTTTTATTTTTTTGCCAAAAGGTTGTGGTGAAAATAGAATATGGAGGGTTTATTTCTTTGGTGGTAGGCCTCGCATAAATACTAAATAGTTCAATAATACAATACCAATACATAAGTACTGAATCAATACAAATGGGAATAATCACAGACCAACGTCTACTCTTGAATCTTTTCAAGTGACCAAAATGTTATGAGTGTAGGGTGGTAGACTTTGAATAGAGTGCAAATGTAAGTCTTTGTTTCTCACCTCACCTCTAGCTTATCACCTAAGATATTTGTGCTAGCGTTCAACCGCTTGGGCTGGTCAGGGTAAAACCTCAAATGGTAAGTTATAGTAACCTCCTGCAGAACACTTTTAACACTTATTGCTCATCTTGCACAACGTTTTCTTGGGAGCTTTTCCGTGTGCTGATATGGTATAGGGAATCGTTATTGGGAAAACTTCAAAATATCTGACATACCACACAGTACATTATTCAAACTACAAATAAAAACCATTTATAATTGTCTCAAATGCTATATGGTACTAATCCAAATTATTTTAAATAGGCATACATACCAGGCATTGCAATTAAACATCCCGATTTTTTCATCTGTCATACGCATCCCTCTGTTGCTTTTCGTCGGCGGATATTAATGCATAAAAGACCCGTTCAACGGCATCAAACGAGTCCGAAAGTTGGAGCTTGGTATCGCGAGCGGATTCTGATTCCAATCTTGTCATACTCGGCGACAGAAAATAGACACGTAAAAGATCATGCTAAAACGATCAAGTGGCATATAAAGGGGTATGGAGTACTCAGCCTTCTCTTCCGTAGTATCACGCCTTACTACGAACCCTAACGTATCACATATTTTACGAGCTACCCGAGAGAAACCATCTTCATCAAATTCAAGCTTTTGCTTATATGTTGGGATTGGGAATTTGATATCCTTGTATATTTCCTCTTCTTCACGCCTTCTATTCTCAATAGATTGTTGGATTGGACCTCCTATTTGATGTTGCTTAGTGAAGTAAACATCATTTTTGGCATTATGGGGAACTATAGAAACGTTATTAGAAATCATTTATAATTGTCTCAAATGCTATTTGATACTAGTCCAAATTATTACGTTATCAGAAACCATTTACAATTGTCTCAAATGCTATATGATACTAATCCAGAATATTAAATATTTTAAATTGGCATACATACCACGCATTGCATATAAGAGGTACCCCACTATCTACTACCCTTGCGGGGTAGTTAATAGTAACATACGTTTACTGGGGTCCGACGGTACGTTTTCTATTTACCCTAACTTGGGTTTTTAGGGGTTTTTTTCGGGTCCCCCCCCCCATAAAAATTTAATTAAATTAAAAAGTTAAATCATTATTAGCTTACGGACGTGAAAATATAGGCTTTGGGGCACAAAATTTTGTTCTTGAATTTGGTAGGACCGCACTTTATTTATTTTTGTTACGTCACCACTGTACCAGATTCTGACTGTAACTAAAAAGTAAAGTGCACATGTATTCTTATCTATAACATCTCCTCTATTGTACACACTATCGAACACCACATAAAGTTGTATAGCTTGTACACTATGGGTATCACTGGGCTGTTCAACCTAGTCCGCCCTGTGTTTGAGAAGACGTCGCTATCTCAACTTGTAGGCGTTTTAGGGATATATGCTAGTTATTTAGCGCACAATTTTGCAAGTACGCATGCGATAGAGATCGTGATGGAGAACAATTTCCAACCCTTTCTCCTTGACGTTTACGCTTCGATTCAGAGGCCACAATCGTACGGTTTAGGTACATTTAGAGTGTTTATGGTATTTGACGGCTATCGAGATAGAGAGAAGAAGGTCAACGAGGAACGAGCCGCAAAACGAAAATCTGCAATGGAGGTCATCGATGTACACATCAAGGTATGCTCGATACATTTATATTGTAGGGACATGATATAGTACAATTTTCTGATACACACAAGTATTTACATAGCGTTGAATGCCTTTATTAGACGTTCCACAGGCTAAGCGGAAAGCAACTGGCTTTGACAAACTTAAAGCTTGTAAGGAAGCTGTTTCATTCTTCAATCTGGACATGGCTGAGATGCTGATGTCACTCTGTCAAGATGTGGATATAGACTTCATCGTATCGCCAATGGAAGCCGAGCAGCAGCTCCTGGCGCTTTATTAGTTATTGGATGTACAACCCTGATTATGGATCAACGTTGGAAGTCTGGCATCGCAGATATCTTCTATAGAAAGAACTGTAAGCACACTAATATTGAAAAGATAGTAGACCTCAGCGATAAGCAAGTTTCATTTCTTCAAGCCGTGCTTAACTTCGGGGTTGACTGTACGGTGTCAATGGCCGCCAGTCTGCTACAATCAGACTATCGTATCAAAGCGGGTTTCACAGTGAATTCTTTCTGTGTGTGGTTGGAATGGCACTACGATGACCGAAGTACACGAACTTATGTTTGAATAGTGCTTATGAGTTCAAGGGTTGGTCTGAAGACGTGTGCGTTCAGACAACAAATGAGATAGCTATAACCAATTTTATGTATTTTTGCCAACCAGTATTTACGGTGGCGACTAATCATGTGGACGAGAATTTCAAAGCAACTAATGTATTTGGAGAAGACTTTCATTTCCAAAATTACATTTGCATGCTGTTCTATCTACTTAAGGATTCTCGTCAAGTATTAATAGATATGTCCGAGACAATGCTTAATGATGAGCGCTTTGCGCAATACTACACATTAGATATGCAACAACAAAACAATCTTAGAAATGGTGTGTATGATATCCGTCATAAACCGTGGTCTAATAAGTGGAACAAGCGGTTAGGTTGACCGCCAATCTCGTGGAGTGCTACTAGTGTAGATTCCGATATACTGAGCTTTAATAAGATGTTGCTTCCGGCATTACGTGCATATGCAGTTCAGCGTGGAATAGTAATACCAGCACGTTTTTCTACAAAACCGGTAATAGTTGAGTATTTAGCACAGAATTTGGATTGTGCATCCGCCGTTCTTACCAAACAGCCAATTCCTGAGGTTCCGACGGCGTTGTTTGCCGCACGACTATCCATTGAAAAGGATCTATGAGATGCATGCGCTCAATTACATTTCACCACTTATGACAACTAAGCCGTAGACCGTGTACTAGTTGGTTCTAAAGTTATTAAGGTTTACTATGGCAAAGCAGCTTATACGTTGCGTCAAAAGAGAGAACAAGAACAACGGGCGATTGTCAATTTGCGTGTGGCGTTTTTAAAACTAGCCGACGATCCTAAAAGAAAACATCCAGCACTGATGTATGTAAGGGGTGGAGTGACACGTTCATATAGACACGATAAAATGAATGTGGTTTGTGTATGTGTTATCGATAAAGATGGAGACACTGGTGCATGGTTTGTCGACTCGGTAGAGGACTGTGCATGTCTTCTACCAATAGCACCCACTAAATAGTAGTAACGGATAAAGGTGAAGGTGACTACAAAATACTTAATGTATCTCCCTGTCACAATCATTACAATTGTGTGCACACGCGAGCAGTACTTGAACGCGTGCGTGAACTTGGAGATCCCGGATCAACTGATAGTACCTGTTCATGGTCAAAGAGTCCTAAATCTCGGAAATTTAATGCTAATCTGATCTCGCTCGACAGTCACAGCCTATCAGGAAGCAAGGGATATTACGATAAGGTGGTGTGGTGTGCGATATGCAGATGACTGCTCCATATGGAGAACGTGACTGAAACAGCTCTTTATCACAAACACCAAACCAATTGGAACTAGTTTGAAACTAAACGAACTATTTTGCGTACCAAAAGAACGAGAGAACAATACAGTAAAACTATCTACAAAACTTGCACGTCTCGCGGCCACTATTATGCTTGCTCGAGAGTTTGTAGACCAGAGTAAAGATTTCAGATGTACAGTTAACAGATCTACCTTTAATCCACTGCGTAAGTCACATATGAATGCGCTTTCAGTTGAAATGGATAAGGATGAACGTGCAAAGTACATGGCCTATCGAAAAGAAAAATTGAGCTGCTATGCACGTCTCGCGGCCACTATTATGCTTGCTCGAGAGTTTGTAGACCAGAGTAAAGATTTCAGATGTACAGTTAACAGATCTACCTTTAATCCACTGCGTAAGTCACATATGAATGCGCTTTCAGTTGAAATGGATAAGGATGAACGTGCAAAGTACATGGCCTATCGAAAAGAAAAATTGAGCTGCTACAATCCCGAGAAAGCATCTAGAGGCCTGAAAATGGATCAAGTTTTGGATTGGTTGGATGAAGAGACTAATGAATAAAGTACAATTTTAATATGTGCATGTGCTTATGATTTTATATTAGATCACATCTAGTGGCACATCTGGTTCTCCGTCAGACTAGACAGTTCTCTCTTTCGCCATCCACCAATCGGTAATAGGACAATCGAGATTGACTAGACCACGAGCTACTTGAGCCTCGTGGTCTGTGATATCAATTTCAGATACCGGGTTGTTTAATCCACTGAACCCTAGATAGTTACGAAGCTCCTCCATATTTCGCTCGATAGGATTGCGTTCTCAAGCTATATCTCTGTCTGCCTGGCCTCTCTCCATACTGAAGGCAAAGTGCCCGACTTGCTTCTTTCTGGGAGTACATACACATATACCCAGCTTTTCTAAAATGCAGGAGACTCTAAATAAAGTGCGAAATGTATGTATTTAATTCTGACCTCAACTTTGGTTTTATACCTGAGGTGTTTGTGCTAGTGTTCAGCCGCTTGTGTTTGCCAGGGTAAAAATTCATATGGTCAGTATGAGAACCCTTATGGAGAACACTTTAACACTTCGATGCTATTCTATTTCAACTACTCAGACCAGATTTTCCATCAAGAAACCGAACGAATTTCGCAATTTTATTGCGCCATCGACCGCGTCCAGTTGAATATGTGACAATCGCAACTCTCAATTGAACATTAGATTCAGTGAGAAAAATCTGGTTTGTCGACATTTATGTTTTCATGTTTTTTGTTGGGGTTTCCGCTTTTGCTATTTTGTACTCTTTTGAATTATAATGCACTTTAATTGAAGTGTTATTCTTTCAATAGTTAATTTAAGCACAAGCTATTATTAAATTAAACTAACACTCGATTTTAACAGCGGTTAATGTACTTTAGTAAAATGAATCATTTTGGCTTGGGAGATTGTGTAGCAAGTCAAAATTGTCGCTCATGTATGGCAAGTCCATGTATAATAGCCTAGTAGTATTGGATAATGCAGAGCGCGTGACACTACGTGTACGTATAAAAAAAAGTAGCATTCTTCATGGTTAAGGTTACAAGAACAGATATTAGCAACGCATTGGTGTAGATCAATAGATATAAATAAATAATAAATATTATAAAATATATACGGAGGTGAACGAAAGAGCTGATTATACAAGAGGTAAAAATTAGATGTGTGTATGTCACAAATATATGGAGGTGAGCAACGGAGCTTGTTATGCTAGAGGTAAATAATAAAGGTGTGTATATTAAAAGATACATGGAGAAAGCGACAGAGCTGGTTTAATAGAAGTAAAATTGTAGGTGTATTAAAATGTACAAATATATACTGAAATTACTAATATATTGCATGCTCAATATACGTCCAAACTGGGGTTCTCGGCGGCGAAGAACTCTCAAGCTTCTCCAGACACATGAAGTGATTATTGGGCTGACAACAGATGATAATCTGAGGTGCATTAGGAGTCACGTTGGTGATCCCGACATCACCACAATCGTCTTCCACCTCCATTTCGACTATGTTGAGAGCTTTAGGGCTCACATTGGTGATCCCGACATCACCACAATCACTATCCACCTTCATTCCGACTATGTTGGGAGCTTCAGAACTCACATTGGTGATCCCGACATCCCCACAATCACCTTCCACCTCTATTCCGACTATGTTGGAAGCTTTAGGGCTCACGTTGATGACCCCGACTCCACGACAACCAAGTTTCATAGCTATTTCGTTTACCTTTGGTAGATTAACGATCACGTTGCTGATCCATTTTCACCACTACCAGGTTTCATTCTTGTTCCGCCTACATTCCTCACGTTGGTGACCCCGACTTCATCGCAACCTCGTTGCATACCTACTCGACTACGTTTGGTATATTAGAGCTCACGTTGCTGATCCCTTCTTCACCTTAACCAAGTTCTATTCCTATTCCGCCAACTGCACCACAACCACGGTCACATCCATTTTGAGTGTGTTTCGGACGCTATCATCAAAAGTCAATTGTTTGATGGAAGCATCGCGTGATTGAATGTTTGAATCAACCACGTGATCCTTTCCATTGATTGCGTTTCCAACCATTTTGATAAATAGTATCAAGTTAACAACTACTTACGTTTTAGTAATATAAATCTCAGTACCTTGTGAAAACTCAAAACTTTCGCTACATTTGATACCTATCTTTGATACTTCCGAGATGCTCACAGACTGCTCTGGGAAGACAATTGTCATCCCCTATAACATTATGTACACGGTGCAAATTGCCATCGGGTAGCACCGATGCTCGTACGCATGCACCAATTCTTCAAAGGGTATTTTAGGGAGTTTGGATTTAATTTTTTATCCTTCTCACCCTTATCATTCTCCTTCTTGCTATGGTCTCCGTCGTCTCAGATCAGGACCTCATCTTAACCCGCCATCATCCTTGCCGTCGGCCTAACGTTTCAGGGTTTTGCCTTTCTCGTCTCCAATACACCCACCATAGTTTGTGCAATATAAATACTTTTATTTAGCTGAACGACGCGGAGTCACTCTCACTGGCGTATCAACATCGACAGCTCCGCCACCTTTGATTGGTGTAACCTTACTTGCAGCACAATCAATCAGACAGACTTGATTTTAAATGCAATTAAGTAAAATGAATCATTTGGCTTAGGAGATTGTGTACCAAGTCAACACGTCGCTCATGCATGGCACGTCCATTTACAATAGTCGAGTAGTACTGGAATATGCAATGGGGGTGACCTTACGTGTACGCAAAAAAAAAAAGAAACATTCCTTTTGGATAAAGTTACCAGAACAGATCTTAGCATCGCGTTGGTGTAGATTAAAAAATATAACTATGCGATTGCATGATTAGAAACTTTTTATTTGTTTTGTTTATTACCTCTAGTGACTATTTGTCACCATCGCTGATTACCATAATACTACGTTCGATGTATTTTTTTCTTCTTTCTCTATATTATAGTCGTTGTGTACACAGTACCCACGCATGACCTGTGAAAGGTTGTTATCATTGTCTTCAAGGTAGCTTGGATACTTATCAATCTCAACCACTAGATTGTCATCATGCCGATTAAGTATCAGCCTATTATCTTTATATCGAGAAACATCCACAGCTATTGAAACGCCATCGACTGGCATTGATGAGCTCCATGGCTGTCAGTAACCGTGGCATCGGCGGTAGGGTTAAAATCACGGCATTTAGCTTAGTATCGATCCGGTTCATGAGACCGTCGCCAAATTCGTCCAGTAACTTTACCTTGTCGGTAATACAATTCGACAGTATTAAATTCAGGGCACACAGCTTTGTCACGGGTGGGCCACACGACGGCGGAGGCGCAATCACCAGCTTTGGTGGAGTATTAAGAATCTGAGAGTCTAAAGCCGCAACGAAAGTTTCACATCTTTGGTATCAAAACGGACAATACCAATGATACCAAATTAGTGAACGGACAGCTATTTTTTTTCTCCATTCATGATACATATCTTCAGAAATATTCATATTCTACTTAAAAGTTCTTGCAGTCTCGCGATGTTCACGGCCAAATGTGGAGGGTACACTTAGCTGCATCCTATATTTAGTTAGATGGCCAGGTGGTGGTTTGCAGCCTTTAGCCATGTCGCGAGCTCAGCATGAAAGCCATTTCCTATTTAAACTAGGTATTTATTGAACAACTACTTAAATTGTGATTGAAATGAAGGACTATAGTCTGCTTCAATACTTATTTTTCTTAGCCAGAGAATTATGAATACGAAGCAAACCAACCCAAACCAAAGGGTGAGTGGAAGGTCTGTCCACGTAAACTGCTTTTGCTTGCTTTTACTCAAGCCACTTTCCACATGATAGATCACTTCTACTTAGATTATAAAAAATAAAATAAACTGACATTCATGGTCACGACGGCCTAGATTACATATGATGTGTCTGGATAACTTGTTGATATTCCTGGTAACACTCATTATGTACTGACGTGGCGGCCTGGACTTGTGCTGGGATGGTCGTGAGCAACCTCTAGTAAACTGTGCATGGACCGAGCCCATTTGTGCTATTCATTCCCTGATATCTCGTCTTTGCTGCAGTCCATACTAGTGTCCAAACAACTAAAATTTACCGACAGTTTTTTCTCACTCCCGTTTCAATTTGTTAGTATCAATCTTTACTCTCTTCTCAGGTCGTGTGCCTACTGCTTTATTTGTCTGTCGATTTCCTTTTTTCAATGTTCTATTCGCTCGATTAGCCATGTTAGACTGTTTTTCGCTGGTATTTTTTTAAGAAGTAATTCAGTATTGTCGAGAAGAGTATCCCACTCTTCACGGCGTAGCTCGTTTTTTAAAGGTCTCATCTATTTCGGTCCTGGATCACTTGCCGGTCCTGATTTTGCATTTTTATTGAGTTTTGGACTGCCAATAATTCTTTGGCAAGGGATAGTTTCATCTTGTTCAGATAAATATATTTCTGTAGTTCCGAATTAACTGGGACTGGAACAGTTGTATTATCTAAGTGTACTTCTTGTCCAGTGACTCTAATATTCCTTGTAGCTCTTTCACGTAATCCAACAATGCCTGAAACTGAACCTGAGATACTGGATTTTGACGGGGTTGCGATGGGGTTTTTGGCGATTTTATCTATTTAAAATCTTTCGTGTTTTCACCGACGTTCGGGTCACAGGGTTCAAGGTATTTTCTCATTTTCAAAAATTATCTCTGAAGTCGCGGGCACAGTATCGGCTTCTGCGTTTATGCTTTCCATAATTTATAATGCCGCCACCTTGTAAGATGATCACACACAGCCTGCGATGCATGAAGTTTGCCAATATCGCTCCAGCAGCGACAACACGTGACTTCGCCAATTACTTAGCCGTGACATCCACGTACTTCTTAATATTTTCACCTAACTGCTGTTCTTCCTGACATTCAACATCCAGCAGCTGGTGCGAACCCAAATAGATCAGCCGTGCTTTCCGCAACAACAACCTCCCGTCGCAGTCCCAAAACGTGGTACTGTAATGAGCTGGGCCTCCACATTAGACTCTATGTTATAAACGTACTCTTAAGCAGTACGTAAATTATAAACGTACTTAATAGTACGAGGAACCTAAGTTTCCTAAATGTACTCTTAATAGTACGAGGAACTTAATTTTCCTAAATGTACTCTTAATAGCACGAGGAACTTAAGTTTCCTAAAATGGGGTTTAATTGTTTTATTCATTAATACCTTTTCCATTCTACATATCAGATATTTGGACGAGGCCATTAAAAGGCCTCAGTGAAATACCAAACATAAAGAGTTGGTCTAGTTCTATTAATAGAACTTTATTTACTTTCCAACTTTATAAATATCTGAATGCTTCGGTAGCGAGATGGCTCAACCGAATATGGGTTGCTAGGGACTATTAACATTACCTAGTTGATCCTCCGATCAGCCAACCAGATGTGCCAGTCTGATGAAGGCTAAATCGGTAATTCTTGATAGTGGCAAGTTATTGGTCAAGACAATAACTAAGGACATCAAGAGTATTTTTATTTATTTAATTTATTTTTTCTAAAGATAAGATTTTATGAGTCTCTCGGATTCGCCCCAGTGAAACATACCATAGTTACTAATAGAGCGACAACGAAACATTAAATAAAATCCCTTCGGCGGAAACAGTACTGAGAGGATAATATATAGGCAATGTCTCAGCCTCACAATCCCTCAGAGTATTGCTGTTTTCACGAGGCATACCTAACTTTACTAAATGTCTTATTTCGTTTATTTACTTTGATATTTTCACGATACTTAAAAATTTACCTACGCGTTTATTTATTCTAAGGCGTTAATATCGCCATGAGAGACCGAATCTCACAGTACATGTTGTAACCCTTAACAGCCCACATGACGTACGTCTGGATACCCTGCAGCAAACTTTCAACCATCCATGGAGACATAGACTAAAGTCCTGCTAACCGCCCCGCCATTTCCAGCATGGCGTTCCTAGGCTAAAACCCATATACACTATGTATATTGTTAGCTGAAAGTATCAATCCTGGCAAAAAAAGACCACTGGCTGTCAGATAACTACCATTTGCTCATCTGCCACAAATATATTGTGCTGTCCAAGACGAGATAAAGAAAAGCTTTCACAATCATTTACTTAAGCGCTGCTTCTTGTGTTCGCCAAGTTAGAGTTGTAGCGATCTTCCTTAAGTCTAATTCCGCCACTGGATGTGCTAGAAGTATATCTTCTTTGCATTGAACCCTACTACCCACAACATATAAAATATTAGGTCATAATGATTCAGCCTTATCTGACCACTTAAGTGCCATACCTGTAATAGCTTTTCTCTCACCCACTGTCATACCTTGAAGACTATGTACTGAATCCGCCTTAGCTACGCGCAAGGGTAGTCCGGTACGACTGCACTTCCTACAGTCGCATCTTAATTCTGTAGTGCTCACGATTACGTTCTTTCTCTTCTCTTCGCAGTTAATATTATTATTTTTCGTCGTTACTTGATTCGATAAATGGCTCCCCTCTGTATTCGTACATCTCGACAACGACTACAAGTATTTCGTTTTGGTTGTAACCATTTGTAAATATAATATCTCTAATTACACCTCGAGACTGATTCGCAAGTGAGACTTCTGGTATTAGATTGACAGTTGATTTAAACATCATTCCGATAGAAAAGTAACTCACTAATGGAATTGCAGCGGCCATACCCAAGCTTCGAGACCCTTTCACGTTACCCACACCACTGGATTTACCGGTGTACAACGCCTTCACTACACTACAGTCGACCAGCCGTAGGAAGACCGTCATCTGCATAAATACACCTCCTGAATAATTCACCATATCGCTAACAGGTGTGTCCTAGTATACACTTGCCCCACATAAAACATTCATCAATCATCAAAAATTATTTCATCCTATATGGGCTCGATAAGATTTTTTTTGTACCGCCG